TTCTGGATATTAAATAGCACTACTACCACTTGTTATGCGAATATTCGATTCTGGACATTTGATTCCTCGCGTGTGGAGCGGGTTTTTCGTAAGCAACGCGAAGAATTTGGGGGAAATTGAAATTTGGGGTCTCGAAAGATGAGGGTATGGCTACGGTTTTGCGCTAAGTCTTCGACAAAACACGAATTGCAAAGTCGCGTTTTCGTGTTTACTCTGTATCATGAGTGTTTTAGCAGCTAAATTTCATGTTTTTACGTTATTGGGCAGTTAAAAGCTCTAGCCGAATATACCACCATTTCCAGTTATACGTTGTAGAAAGTTGCTTAAGCATCTACAGCTAAAATTTAGCAAGCGAGACATCGCTAGTCATGCCATTGGCAGCCTGAAAGATCTCAAATGGCAAAATAGAAGCAAAATTTCTTATCACTCAAATTTTGTTATTACGGTACATCATAGCTTATTTTGACATCAAAAATGGGAAAAGCTGGGCATTTGATAAATTCTCACGATAAAAATTGATTTATAGAACTCTTCAGAAATCGTAAATATTGAGATTACACTTTTACTAGAAATAAATTAAGACATTGATAAGCTTCAAGTTTAGAGATAAGCATGTTGGAGAAGATTTCATCGTATGAAATAGCACATACATTATCTTTCTTACATGTAACAGATTCCAAACTCTTGCATGAACCGTTTACCTGCACGTACGAAAACTCAACCCAAATTATCCAAATACGTACAATGTTTGCGTTCAAATGAGATTTGCGCAGTTTGGGCAGCGATGTACAGGAATGGTGTACCAAAAAGTGATATACTACTCAAGAATAATATTTATATGAAGAATGTTAATAGTACGCGTTATTTCACATAGATTAAGAATATGCTTACCTTTATACTTAAAGGTTGTCAACGTTTTTTGAATCTATTTCCATAAATGTCTAGAATTAGTACAGCTTCAGTTTACGATCTCTACGATATATTATAAATTAATTTTTATTTGAGAATTTATCAAGTGCCTACAA